AGAATTATTTGGCAGGTCCAGTATAAGGAGAGCCCAATTAGGTTGTGTACCTGGTTGATCTTGGCTGAGCTAGAAAGCTAAGCAGGATTGACCCTGGTTAGTACCTGGATGGGGTCATTTGGGAAAGCCAGGGCTGTGGGCTAGAGTGGGAAGTTGAAATAAGGCAAATGCAAACCACTTCCATATCTGCCAAGAAAACTGCATGTATGTAACTCACCAAGAATCAAGCTTGACTCCAAGGTGACTTGACTTTGAAAAAGGAAGTAGTGGAGTGCAGTTCTGAACCCAAGTTGAAGCCTCTAGCTCCTTCCAAATATGATGATAGCACAGATCCATACCCTTCCTTAATGCAACCTTTCCACGCCTGGTGAGCTGCAGATTATGGATTTCTACTTCCATTATTCCTAGCCAGTGGACTCATTGGTCTTGGTGTCTACAGCTTATGGCAGGCTAATACACCTGGGCACCCACAAGCTTGGAGAAGGCTGAATGAATGCAGGCGCTGACTGATGACTTAGATTAATCTTGCTCACAATGATTTCTCTGCTGACATCCACACACGCCCATCTTTTGACTAGTTAAGACTCCAACCCTACCAGCCATGTAGCTTTTGCTCTGAAAGCAAAAGGTGGAACCTGGCAACCCCAATGTTAAGAACTTGACGGCTTTCCATTTTTAATGTTGCTTCAAGCCAGTAAATTTCATCTGCAGAATTCTTGCTTGGTTGGTGAATGCTTTAAAGTACCCTGCCCCTGCATTAAATACATTTATCTTCCTCTACAAAACTACAGCTCAGGCTGAACGTAGTTATTCTGTTGATGGGGCAGAGAGATCGATGGGGAGTTGTGATCGAAGTTCCTGGTAGCAATGTAGCAGCATGAAGCGTGTGTATGAAGGAAGCATCCACTGTGACTGCTGTCCTAAAGTCCATACATAATTCCCTTGCAAAGGAAAGTTCCTAGTCAAGCGTGGGTCTCTTTGGAGTGACTGCCCGGGGCCGACAATGTTCTCTCAGATTATGATGTAAGTAAAGAGCAGGCAGGGTAGACAGGGAACTGACAGCTTTGTCCACCCAACAGCCCCTCAAAGTTGCAATATTTTCTCTCCTGGGAATGCCATGTCAAAACCTGAACTCAAACGTGCAAAGAGGTAGACTGTGATGGGGACATCTCACATGGCAACCTCTCCCTCCCTTCCTTCATTTCTTCCTTTTTTGGCTGTGAGAGGAATATTGCTCAGTGGTTTGTGCAAAGCTGGAGCACGGTTTATAATTTTAGATCACCATGACAATCAGTTTCTATGCAAACCCATGCTTAGCTCCCCACAGCTTCCAACCCAGGGCATCTCAAATGGCATTTCCACTGGTATGAGCAGGAACAAATGAATGGAAGGGTAGCTAGTTGGTCTTCTAGACAGCTATGCCCTAGCCTTTGTATGGCTCAGTGATTCTCTGCACAAGAGAATCTTTACTCTTTCACTCATATGGAGAATCAGGGGCTGTGAATTCATATGAGGACGCAGTCCAGAGTTATTCCCATTTAGTTTCCTGGAGAGCACTGTCCTCATTTCCCTTCCAAAGTTCTGAGGCACCACAAGGAGTTCAAGAACCCTTATTACAGGGGCAGACCATATTGTGGCAACAGGGAACCAGATACCTCCCTTAGTGCTGATTAGCTGTCCCATCTGATCTCTTTAGAAGTTTCTTTTCAAACAAACAAACAAATCGCATACTGACACTGCAAAGCAAAGCACCAGCT